ACCCTTTTTCCTGATAGTGTTCCAATACTGACCCTTGAGAATCCCAGAAAGCATCAATTTTCCAGTTGATGATTGACTTTTGAACTTTTCTTTCTTTGTTGATGATTGAGGTTGTTTCCATTCCATGTTCTACTGTTTACTCTCAGGCTCATAGTGATGAATCCATATCTCTTTACCAGTAATGATTTTTTCAAATAAACGTTTACTTTCCTTCAAGTATCAGTCCAGATTTTGTTTGCAGATATCCATACATTTTTGTTGATGCTCTTCTGTGAGTTGTTTTGATATCCATCTCATACAAGCTTTTTAAAACCCAAGTCTGTCCTGGATTAGTTTATAGGCAGAGCTATAGCTGGTTTGCAAGTGATTTGTCACATAATCCACTGTCACTTGTCTATTTGACAGAATCATTTGGATGCACACTCAGTGTTGTGGACATGGGCGGGCATTTTAATACACCCAGAGTTTTGTGGATGATTTTTACTCACCCCCATGTACAAGCTTCAAATATTTTGTGAGAATTTTCCATTAACTTTTAAATCCACTTTCCATAAAATTATTGGAGCCCCCTTTATGAGTGTGTATGCATTTGTATATTGTTGCTGTTGTTAAGTGCCATCAACTTAGTTCCGGCTCATAGGAACTCTGTACAGGGTTTCCAAGGAGCTGGTGGGTTTGAACAATTGACCTTGAGCTTAGCAGTCCAGTGCTTATCCTATAGCACCACACAGTGACTTCTGTAGGGCCACACTAGGACTTTGTGTATGTGTATATATGTTGTTGTATAATGCCGTGGAATTGGTTCCTACTTATAACAACCCTGTATAGTGTTTCCAAGCAGCGGTTGGTGAGTTTGAACGGCCAGCTTTGCAGTTTGAACCAACCTTATGGTCAAGTGTTTATCCTACAGCACTACACAAGGATACACGTGTGCGTGTGTGCATGTGTATGTTGTTAAGTGCCATCGAGTCAGTTTTGACCCACAGTGACCCTGTATAGGGTTTCTGAGGAGCAGCTGATGAGCTTGAACTGCCGATCTTGATGTTCAAACCAATTTTGCAGTCCAGTGCATTAACCCACAACACCACATAAGGACTGCTATGTGTGTATATATGTATATGTAAATATAGGGGCGTGTGGTGGCTCCATACGATAAGCACTTGACTTTGAACCACAAGATCATTGTTTGAGTCCACAGCTACTCTGAGTTAGAAGGACAAAGCTTTCTGCTCCCACAAAGATTTACAGCCTCAGAAACCCTATTCAAGGTCTCTGAGTCAGAACCAACTTGACGGCACTTAACAACAACAAAAATGTATCTGTATATCCACCACTTCCTTATCTACCAGTTTGCTGTACTCTGGTGGCTGGTATGTTGCTATGCCATTGGAAGCTATGCCATTGGTAGTTCAAATACCCTCAGGATCACTCGGTTTCAGCAGAGCTTCCAGGTTAAGACAAACTAAGGTCAGGTATCTACTTCTGAAAATTAGTCAAGGAAACCAAATGGACCACAAGAAAGCGTTGTCTGACTCACTTGCTTTGGACACATCTTCATGGGGCACCAATCGCTAAAGGAGGATCTGTTGGGGAAGTAGAGGATGAAGGAGACCTTTCCATGAGATAGATAGAAACAATAATTGCAACGATGAACTCAAGCATATTCGTGATTATAAGGATGATACAGGATTAGGCAAAGTTTTGCTCTGTTGTGCATATGAGGGAACTTCAGAAGTTTGTGGAAAATAGAATGAAAAGGTCATGAAATTTTTTTACGAACTTTCTTGAAGTCCCTCATAGAGTTTTGAAGCCTCTTATAGGAATCTATGTGAACTTAATGGAAGCTACCTCTATCTATCTATCTATCTATCTATCTATCTATCTATCTATCTATCTATCTATCTATCTATCTTTCTACCCATCTGTCTTTTCTATCCATCTATGTTGTTCATTATCATTACTGTCAAGCCAGTTCTGATTCACAGTGACTCCGTATGTGCAGAGTAGAGCTACTCCATAGGGTTTACAAACCTGGGAACATTCAGAAGCAGATTGCTAGGCCTGTCTTCCAAGGTGTTTCTGGTTAGGTGTGAACCACCAACATTGTGGCTAGTCATAGAGCATTTAACTGTTTGTACTAACTCAAGGATATATGCATACATATGGATGTTGTTGTTGTTGTTAAGTGCCTTCGAGTAGGTTCCGACCCATAGCGACCCTGTACAGGGTTTCCGAGGGTGTAAATCCTTACGGGAGTAGAAAGCCTCATCTTTCTCCCGTGGAGCAGCTGGTAGTTTCGAACCACTGACCTTAAGGTTCGCAGCCCGATTCGTAACCACCACACTACCAGAGCTCCTTCATATGGATATATATATACATATATCCATGGGTAGTAAATACATATAAACATACACACACACATATATCCATATACATACATACATACACATACACACATATATATCCATATGTGTGTATGTGTATGTATGTATGTATATTTAAACATATATGTTGTTGTTGTTAATTGCTTTTGAGTTAGTTTCAACTCATAGAGACCCTGTATAGGGTTACCAAGAAGTGACCTGTAGCTTTGAACCACTGACTTTGTGATTAGCATTCCAGTGCTTATCCTATAGTATCACACCAGGACCCCATGCATTTGGATGTTGTTGTTGTTGCTGTTAAGTGTTGTCGAGTCGATTTCAACCCATAGCGACCCTGTATAGGAGCAGCTGGTGAGCTTGAACCACCAATCTTGCAGTTCAAATAACTTTGCAGTCTGACGCATTAGTTCACAGTGTCATACCAGGTGCTAGTACTTAAATAACACAATACATGCAAGATGTTTATATAAAGGGCACAGCCAAAAGAAAAGGAAAATATAAGTGACAATCACTTTTAATTTAGAAGGAGTGGGGACAGCTCTCCTAAGCAGAAAAGTAAATCTAGAGGTCACTACAGATGAGACTTATAGGCCTGCCCCATAAGTACTTATAATTGCTGAATTACAAAAACTAACATAAATAAAGTTCAATATGAAAGAAAAGAACCATGTTCAGCATGCCACAGAGAATTATTATTCACAATATATACTGACACTGTAAATCAGTAAGACAAACTTAAGCAAAGATTAGGCTTTCTGCTCCCACAGAAATTTAAAGCCTCAGACATCCAATACAGGGTTGCTATGAGTGAGAACCAACAACAACAACAACAAAACAAGCAAAAGGAAAAAGATAAAATAAACAGACAGCTCACAGAAGAAATGAAAAAACAGATAAACATAGGGAATAATGCTCAAACGTCACTGTAAGTCAGAACAAAGATAAGTTAAATAAAATACTGTTTTAAATTCATTCTGGAAAAATTATCTTTAAAGATGTAGCACTGTGGGTTAATGTGCTAGACTGTAAAATTAGTTTGAACCGCAAGATCAGTGGTTCAAGTTCACAAACAGCTCCATGGAAACCCTATACAGGGTCGCTATGAGTTAGAACCGACTTGATGGCACCTATCAACAACAACAACAATGTTTAAGGATATCTAATGGAGTCTTGGTGTTGCACTGTAGGATAGGCATTGGACTGCTAACCACAAAGTCAGTGGTTTAAACCTATCAACTGCTTCTAGGAAACTCTATACATGGTTGCTATGAGTTGAAACTGACTGCTACAACAGCACTTGACAACAACAAACAACAATATTGCCAAAGGAGTCCTGGTGGTGTAGTGGGTTACATACTGGGCTGCTCACCACAAGGTCAACAGTTCAAATCTACCAATGGCTCTGTTGGACAAAGATGAGGCTTTCTGCTCCTTAGAAACCCAATACAGGTTTGCAAGGACTCAGAAGCAACTCAATAATGCACCAAGACCACTAATCTTGTCAAGAAGATTAGAAAAAAAGCAATATTCATTGATAATTTAATTTGGTGCATCCTTTTAGCAGAATACTTCAGGAGTATCTATCAAAATGTAAGGTGCACATAGCCTTTGATCTAGCAAGTCCACTTCTGGTACACTGTTGTACAAAAATAAATTACTTGTTTTAAATCATTGTTTAGAAATGACTACTTTTATCTAGTCTCAGAAATAACTAAGTAAAATCTACATTGTTGTTAGTTGCTGTCGTGTTGCTTCCAACTCAGTATGTACAACAGAATAAAACACTGCCATTCCTACGCCATCCTCACAATTCTTTCTATACTTGAGCCCATTTGTTGCAGCCATATGCCAATCCAACTCATCAAGACTCTTATACAGTGATATAGAAATACTTATAAGGGTATTTGTTAAATGAAAAATAGGGGCACAAAACATAGGTACATTATGATCCTCTATACGTAAAAATAATTACGACACACATACACATATATTTGATACTTTAATATTGACATTTATCTGGAAAATAACACAACAGCCTACAAACATTTGAAAAAGCTGTAAAACGAGAACCTGCCTTATCATATATGAGAACACTATATAAAACATAGAAATTATAAACAAATAAATATTTGTTTTTTTATTTGTTATGTTGTTAATGTTATGCATGTTACATAAATACATTTACAAAAATATATGCATATATACATATGTATGGGTAGAAAGAAAAAGTAAGTAAATATATGTTGTATAATAAATTGTTACTAATGATTAATTTTAGAGGGAAAGTGAAAATTGATGGGTGGGTAGGTGAAAGAAACTTTAGTTCTTTGTGATAATTATTTATAAAAAGCATATATTATTTGTTTGATTAAAAAATAAAGGTATTTAAAAAATAAAATAGTCTAACATGAAGTGTACCTTTCATCTGCAATCTTACCAGGGAACTGTCAAAAAAATAGGTTCTAAGGAAATCAAATTAATTGAACCATGAATTCAAGTTTGCGTATTCAAATATACTTATCTCTTTATAATACTGCTCTGTAACATGGAATTGTCTGCATATGTCTGTTGGGTGGGTGCCTAGAGTCCTGTAGCTTGCTCTCTATCTCTTTACAGGAATGATGCTGGGAGCTTTCACTGCCATCCTCCTTGGTGGCTTCATCAGTCAAGTCATTGGGTGGCCTTTTGCTTTTTATATCTTCGGTAAGCTGTTTCCTTTTAGTTTTCAGGTTTCAATATTCAGAAAGATCCTTCTGAGTATCTGTATATACTGTTTTGGAAGAAATTAGTCAAGACAGAAGAATCCTAGATTAATCAAAGTTCAATAAAATATGTGAACATATTATTAGGGAATAATTGACATACACTAAGAATTCTGAAGTTCTCCTGCCTATTATAATGGGCTATTAACATTTTAACATAATACTCTGCTGTCTTTGCAAGAATAGGGGACAGGCTTGCAGAGCAGTGGTTTGTGAGAGAGAAGAAAGAAGTCATAGATGCTGCTATAGGGTTGGTCTCAGGTTAGGCCAAATAATGAGGGGGTTCCTGGATATGGCTTAGTATTCTTCAGCTTCAGCCTGAACTTGCATATAAGCAATTGATGGCCCATCCCACAGTCTGCCCCTGGCCTTGTTTTGGCTGATATTGTAGAGCTTTTCTACATCTTTCCCCAAAGATGTAGTCAATTTGATTCCTGTGTATGCTATCTGGTGAGGTCCACATGTACATAAAAACCTTTTATGTTGTTTAAAAAGGTATTTTCAATAAGTAAGTCACTGGTCTTACAAAATTCTATAATGTGATCTCCAGCGTCGTTTTTATCAGTAAGGTCATATTTTCAACATCCTTTCTCTTTATTTCCAACTTTCACATTCCAGTCACCAGTAATTATTAAAGTGTCTTGATGTCATGTTTGATCAATTTCAATCTGAAGAAGTTGGTAGAATTCTTCAATTTCATCATCATTGGCTTTATTTGTTGGTGCATCCATTTGAATAATAGTAGTTAACTGGTCTCCCCTGTGGTGGTGGTAGTGATTGTATGCATGGTGTGGTGCCATGGGCTAACATGCTAGACTGCAAAATCTGTTTGAACCACAAGGTCAGTGGTTCAAGCTCACCAGCCACTCCTTGGAAGCCCTATACAGGGTCGTTATGGGTTGGAACCAACTCGATGGTACTTAACAACAACAACCGCATCACAGACAGCATAGTACTTCCAGTTAGATCTTGAAATGTTCCTTCTGGCTATGAATGTGACTCCATTCCTCTTCAATTTGACTTTCCCAGCATAGTAAACCATATGATCTTCAGATTCAAAATAGCCAATACCAGTCCATTGCAACTCACTAATGCCTAGAATATTAATTTTTATACATGCCATTGCACTTTTAACAATTTCTAATTTTCCTGTATCCATACATTGTACATTCCATGTTCTGATTATTGATGGCTGTTTGCATCTGTTTCTTGTCATTTTAGTTGTAGCCTATTAACTATTGAAGATCCCCCAAAACTGTACTCCATTTACATCATTAAGTTCAAGTCTCCTTTTTGGAGGCAGCTTTTCCAACCTGCATGCCTTCCAACCTGATGGGGCTCATCTTCCAGCACTATATCTGACAATGTTCTGCTGCTATTAATGAGATTTTCAGTGGTTAACCACTCAGAAGTGGTTCAACTCTTCTTCTTCTTAGTCTGTGGTATTCTGGAAGCTCTCCTGAAACCTATCCACTATAGGTGGCCCTGATGGAACTTAAAACACCGGTGGCATAGCTTCCAGTATCATAGCAACATGTAAGCCACCACAGTACCACAGGCATGGAAAAAAGAATAAACAGGAAATGACAACCCATAATGAGACTAGTGAGTCAGTTAAAACCAACATAGAAATGACACAAATATCAATAGAAGGAAGCAAGTATATTAAATTGTTATTATACTTGTACCCTAAATATTCAATAAGTTAAGTAGAGATATAGAAAATATATTAACAAAGACCTGAAACGAACTTCGAGAGATGTTTCAGGTGAACAATGTACTGCATAGAATTAATGGCAGTGACACTGTGGGTTAATGCTCTGGACTGCAAGTTTGGTTTGGATTGCAAGGTGGGAGGTTCAAGCTCACCACCCACTCCTCAGAAACCCTATGTGTCAGAACTGATTTGATGGCACATAACAACAACAACAATAAAGCAGAAGTGACTAATGAACTAAAAAACATAGCAGCAGAAATCATAGTGTATAAAAGACAGAGAAAAACTAATAATAAAATGGATAGAACTTTTACAGTAAACTATAAAGTGTCCCCAAAAGAATAGAGGCATTTGGGAAAAAAAAATATTTGAAGAAATAAGATCTGAACAAATTTTCAAATTTAATGAAAACTATAAATGCACAGAAACAAGGTCAATGAAACTCAAAAAACTCAAAGCACAAGAAACATGAAGAAACTACACCAACATACATCATAACGAAGTGGTTTGAAACCATGATAAGAGGGAATATTAAAGAAACCAAAAATAAAAGCCATGCACAGAGTAACAAAAATAATAACAACGGCTTTCTCATTAGGAACAATACAGTGAGAACAACATTGTAAAATACAAGGAAAAATGAATCAAACACTAAATTGAATTATAGGTATAGTGCACTACTAATCAAAATCCTAGCATAAAACTGTGTTGAGTATCCACTTCTGTTTCTTTTTTTGGGAAGAAATTAGTCTTTTTTATTGATAGAAATTGTTAAGACGACTCTAAAATTCATATGAAAATTTTAAGAATCTGGGATAGCCAAACAACTTAGAAAATGAATTACAATTACAATTAGTTGAAGAACTAATACTTGCTGGTGTCCAGACAGGGTGATGTTAATAAAAATAGGCCAAATTGGTCAAAGGAACAAAACAGCATCATAAACAGATCCACACATATAAGGAAAACTTTTTGTTTGTTTGTTTCTGAATAGAAACAGAGGCAATTCAATAGTGAGGAGATAGTCATATTGGCAAATGGCATTCCAAGTTGTATACTTGTATGCAAAAAAAGAACTTTGACCCATATTTCACACCAGAGACAAAAACAAGAATGAACTCAAAATGGATCCTAAAGCTAAAACTTAAGTGATTATGCTTTTGGAATAAAACAGGAGAAAATCTTTGTTCTTGGGTTAAGCAAAGGTTTCTTAGATATGATATGAAAAACATGATTCATAAAATAGAAAATTGATAAATTGGATTTCATCAAAGTTTAAAACCTTTGCTCTTCAAAAAGACAATGTTAAGATCATAAAAAAGGCAAAGTGAGACAGGGAATGAATACTTGCAAAACACATATGATAAGAACTTTTATCCAGAATGTAGAAATAATTCTCAAAACTCAGTTATAGGAAGGAGAGGGGCTGTGTGCTGGTGGCTGGAGGACAGGCTTGCAGGGCATGTCTTTTGGGTGTTTGAATGATTACATATTCCTGAGTGTTTGGTGTACATCCAAAAAACAAACAAACAAAGAAAACAGAGGGACTAGAAGCAAATGTTGTTGAATGATGCATGGAAGGGATTGTAATCATCGCAATTAAATGAAATATGATAGGATGAGGGTAAAATGGATATTTTCCCATGTAAACTATCACTCAACTCACAATAAAAACTTTAAGAAAAAACAACCCTAAAACCTCAATGATAAGAAAACAACAACCCAATTAAAAATGGATAAATTATTTTAACCAGCACTTCATCAAAGAAGATTATGGAGGGCACATACCCAAATGAGAAGATCCTTAACATCCTTAGTTATTAGGAAAGCAAATGAAAACCATACTGAGGTAAATACAAATCTATTAGAATGGATGGAATGAAAAAGATTGAGATGCCAAGTACTGTGGTGCTATAGCGTAGTGGTTACGAATCGGGCTGCGAACCTTAAGGTCAGCGGTTCGAAACTACCAGCCGCTCCGCGGGAGAAAGATGAGGCTTTCTACTCCCGTAAAGATTTACACCCTCGGAAACCCTGTACAGGGTCGCTATGGGTCGGACCCGACTCGATGGCACTTAACAACAACAACAACATGATTGCTATACAAATGGTGTTCCAAGTGTGGCAACACACTGACTGCAAAGTTGGTTTGAACTTCAAGGTCAGCGGTTCAAATTCACCAACAGGACTCTTTATACAGGGTCACTATGAGTTGAAACCAACTTCATGGCACTTAGCAACAAGAACACACACAAATAAACAAGAAATGAAAAGGAATAGGTATTAGAAAGCTGAAATATTTACTCAGTCATGTCCTTTTTTTTTTTTTCTGAAGTGGAAAGGGGATATTATGAACAAGGACTTTCCCCCAAGTTCTATACCACAGCATGTCTCAATGTAAAAAACAAAAACAAAAAACAAAAAACAAACCATGCTGAAGGCAGATATCAGCCCTGTGCCATTTTACTATCTGTTACAGGAATTATTGGCTGTGTCTGTGGCATTCTCTGGGTTGTTCTGGTTTATGATGACCCTATTTCTCACCCATGGATAAGCATCTCAGAGAAGGAATACATCATATCCTCACTGACCAAACAGGTACATAAAAGGACTCCTACTTTTTCTAGCATTTGTACTTCTTCAGGATGCCTAAAACTATGTAAATATCTTTCAGATCTTTACTGTTCTGACCAGTAAATTTGTTTTCAGTTCAGTTCTTCTAGGCCGTCTCTTCCTATCAAAGCTATGGTCAGATCTCTACCACTTTGGTCCTTGATTTTGTGCTGTTTCAGCCATCATTGGTTAGTCATTGTAATGACTGTATACACACCAACTTATATCAGCTCTGTGTACAATATTAACCTCAGAGATGTGAGTATATTTCTCCCCCAGTTCTTCCCTCCTGTTTTCATGATCATTCAACTTTCACAAATCATTCCCCCTAGAGAAATTTCTCTCTTATTAATTAATGTAACCTTCATGTCAGTATCATTGAAGGTATGATTGAATACTTTCTTGGAGTGTGATTAAAGTTACTGATTTCAGGTCTTACCTAAGAAAGCATGATTTCAGGATGGCAGTATGATTAGGAGTGATTGATTAGTGAAAATTCTTATCTCATTGCCTTTATCAATGGATTTGAAAGGACAGTTTATAGTCCTTCTTGACATGAAAACTTTACCTGACTAAGAAGGTTTGTTCCGTTTGTTTTCTTCAGAATGGGATCGTATCTGCCCTTCCTTTTATTTTTGCTTGGTTCTTTAGTATCCTGGGAGGCCTACTAGCAGACTTCCTTCTGACCAAGAATTTCAGACTTGTTACAGTGAGAAAAATTGCTACAGTTCTAGGTAAGTAGAGGGCCTAATGAATGAATTAGTGCTCAATGCACGCAACAACCAAAGAATTCATCTCCCTATTTAAATTGTTTGTTGCTCATTCCCTAGGAAATCTTCCTTCTTCAATAATCCTTGCTGTCCTGCCATACCTCAGGTCCAGCTACATTACAACAGTAACTCTTCTGACCATCGCTTCTGGACTTAGCTCACTGTGTCAGTCTGGGATTTATATTAATGCCTTAGATATTGCTCCAAGGTAGGATTCTACTAACCAGTTTTGTTTTCACACTTTCTGAAAAATACTTAGCTTTCTGGAGCCCCAAACTTTGGAAAACCAATCATTAACAAAGACCACAGATAGCTCTTCGGCCTTTTTTTTTTTCCCAAGGTATGAATGTGTATCAGGGATACTGTTAATGTCTCTTAGTGTTTTTTGTTGACTATAGATAGTATAGGTGCTTTATGACATAGTTATAGGATAGATTCCTACATGGAGCAGGGCCAAAGGATATTGTCAAGCATTTCTGCATATAGCCTGGAACACTTCTCTCACCCACAGGCATTCCAGTTTTCTCATGGGAGCATCAAGGTCATTTGGACTCATAGCAGGTGTTCTGGTACCCACTATCAGTGGATTCCTTCTGAGTCAGGTAAAGTTTACATGTCAAGAAGGACTATAAACTGTCCTTCCAAATCCATTGATAAGGTTAATACTATAAAGAATGCTTTCAAAGATTGTAAAATAAATTTAAAATGAGATTGACTTTTGCATGAAGATTGAGTTGTAATTGATTGCTGTTGAGTCAGTTCTGACTCATGATGGCCCCATGTATTACAAAGTAGAACTGCCCATAGTTTTGTTGGCTGTAATCTTAACAAAAGTAGATTGTCAAAACCCAAAAAAGGTGGGTTTGACTACCTTTAGGGTAGTAGTTGTTGTTGTTAAGTGCTGTCTAGTCTGAAAACCTACAGAAAAAATATGCAACAATTTTTTTGGTGATCTCAATGGAGACCTGGTGTGGAACTGCAGGATAAGCACTGAACCACAAGGTCAGTTTAACCATAAGGTTGGTAGTTCAAATTCACCAGCCACTCCTCAAAAATCCTATCCAGGAATGCTATGAGTTTAACCTCACTTGACAGCACTTAATAACAACAACAATGTTGGTTCACTATGAAACCAAATAAAGAACTAACTAGTGATTCATTGGTATATACAGTCTTTGAAATTGAAACCACAGAGTCACATAGTTGTCTTGGTATAATGACTCCATTTATGGATGCAACCTACCTTGTCTTCTGTATTGTTTTGAAATTTTGATTTGTATAACTATACAAAAAAGAAAGGATAATGAAATAAATATATTTAAGTGATATGTTCATATACAGTAAACTCACTTAGTTGCTAATTTTCTCACCAATTGTGTAGATAGATCATTATTAGTATCCTTATGATCTGATGATTAAACTGAAAATCTGTTAGGATATGTTTCAGCTAAGAGGATATTTATAAAATCAGAATTATTCTTCAGACCTGTCTAGCTCCAAAACCCATAATGTTTTCACTATGACATCACAATTTAAGAAGAATCTTGAAAGAATGTTTGGCATGCCTCATGTAGACAATATTCATGTAAAATAGATATCTATACCACTTTCATAGTGACAAATCCAATTCTGTATGTTAATCACTAATGTTCCCAAACTTCTTCTGTTAAGAGTGTACCGAATCTCTTTTAAATTATTTTGTTCATCAAACAACCAAACCACTTTCAGGCAATTAATTTCTTCATGAAAATCCAACAGTGAACATTGTGATCTGAACTGTTAATATGATGTTACATAGGGGAATAAAAAAGATGAAAGGGGTAATATTTACTTGGAGTTCTGTGTTGCCAGGACCCTGAATTTGGATGGAGGAATGTCTTCTTGTTGTTGTTTTTCATTAACATATTAGGCCTGATCTTCTACCTCATATTTGGAAAAGCAGATATCCAGGACTGGGCTGAAGAGAAAAAATGCACTCATTTATGAAGGTAAAGAATAATGATTTCATCTATGATTATAACCAAAGAATGCTATTTAAGTTTTTTTAAAGTTCTGTATCATTATCATTTTCTTTCTTAGTTATTCTACACCAGACAGAAAAGCCATCAGGCACTTTATTTCATAAATGGAAAGGCTTCAGCGATGAAAATACCCATGAAAAGAATTTTGTTCGTTATGGCTCTTCAGATACTAGATCAGTCCTTTCTTATGCTTTGTTTTTGGGAAAAATAGAAGATGAATGAAAACTCAAATCAAATGATAGTCAAGAATAGCTATCAGCTTCATGAAATTAACAATGGACTTAGAGAATTTGCTGTATGGGAGGAAAGATGTCATATTCACAATTTATGGATATGAAACAAGAATCCATGTTTTGAAATTTGTAATCTACGATAGCAACCTTGCTAGAGCCATGCTTATTCCTGATTGTGAAAATGAATGTCAGTTCATATTTTTCTGTACTGGATATTGTCCAATGTGTATGCTCAAACGGTGTGTGCTCCAGTCTTCACCCTACTCAGGCACCAGGGGCTGACCTATATGGACTATGTTTCACATTCCCTTGTTTACTGAGATTTGTTTCATTTCATTTTTTTTAAATTGTACAAAAATAAATTCAACATATTTGCCAGTTTAGCAGTTTTTTTTTTCATGTACAATTCAGTGACACTAATTACAATACACAGATTGTACATCCACTATGACTATCTGATGCCCAATTTCCCATGCATATTGAGAGCTTACTGAATAATAGTGATGGAAATTACTTAAATTCAACATGAGACAATCTGCAATTTACATTTGTGTGTACAGAAGTGAAGAACTATAGGAAAAACTAATGTAGGGGGATATTGTACCCATAAACAAATACAAACTCTTAAATAACATTCAGTAATTGTAGCACAGAGTTCTGGTGTGGCGTTGTAGGATAAATACTGGACTGGTAACCAAAGTCAGCAGTGCAAACCCACTAGCAACTTTCAGAAACCCTGTTGTTATTGTTAGGTGCCATCAAGTCAGTACCGACTCATAACAACCTTATGCACAGCAGAACGAAACACTGCCCAATCCTGGGCCAACTTCACTACTGTTTTCATGCTTGAGTCCATCAATGCTGCCACTTGGTCAATCCATCTCTTTGGGGGTCTTCCTCTTTTTCTCTGATCCTCCACCTTACCAAACATGATATCCTTCTACAGTGACTAGTCCCTCCTGACAATATATCTGAAGTATGAGAGACAAAGTTTGGCCATCTTGACCTCCAAGGAGCACTCTGGCTGCACTTCTTCCAAAACAGATCTATTGGTTCTATTGGCAGTCAATGGAACTTTCAATATTCTCCTCTAACACCATAACTCAAAATCATCAATTCTTCTATGGTCTGCCTTATTCACTGTCCAGCTTTCGCATGCATATGAGGTTATTGAAAATACCATGGCTTGGGTCAGTCTCACCTTAGTCCTCAAGCTGACATCTTTGCTCTTCAACACTTTAAAAAGGTCTTGTGCAGCAGATTTGATTAATGCAATACATCGTTTGATTTCTTGACTGCTGCTCCCATGAATATTGATAGTTGATCCAAGAAGAATGAAGTCCTTGACAACTTCAATATTTTCTCTGTTGATATGAATGTTGTTTATTGGTCCAATGGTGAAGATTTTTGTTTTCTTTACATTGAGATGCAATCTGTACCGAAGGCTGTGCTGTTTGATCTTCATCAGTAAATGTTTTAAGTCCTCTTCACTTTCAGCAAGCAAGGTTGTATCATTTGCATATTGCAGGTTGTTAATGAGTCTTCCTCCAATCCTAATGCCAGGTTTTTCTTCATAGAACCCAGTTTCTGGGATTATTTGCTCAGCATACATGTTGACTAAGTATGGTGAAAGAAAACAACCCTGTCGCACACCTTTCTTAATTTTAAAATATTCAATGTTTCCATGTTCTTGTTCGAACAACTGCTTCTTGGTCCAGGTACAGATTCCTCATGAGCACAAGTGTTCTGGAATACTCATACTTAGCAATGTTGTCCATAGCTTGTCATGATCCACACAATCGAAAGCCTTTGTGTAGTCAATAAAGCACAGGTAAATATCTTTCTTATATTCTCTGCTTTCAGCCAAGATCCGTTGGACATCAGCAATGATATCCCTCATTCCATGGCCTCTTCTGAATCCAGGTCGAACCTCTGGAAGTTCTCTGTAAATGTATGCTTGCAGCCATTTCTGTATTACCTTTAGTAAAACTTTATTCACATGGGATATAAAAGAGATTGTCTAATGATATCCTCATTCCATTGGGTCACCTCTCTTTGGAATGGGCACAAATACAGATCTCCTCCAATCAGTCAGTCAGATAGTTGTCTTCCAAATTTCCTGGCAGAGATGAGTGAGCGCCTCCTGTGCCACCTCATTTTCTTAAAAGATTTCAATTTTTACTCCATCCAAATTCCTGATGACTTGTTCTTTGTGAATTCCTTCATTGCACCTTGGGCTTCTTCTTCAGTAGCATTGGCTCTTGATCATATGCTACCTCTTGAAATGACTGAACATTAACCATTTCCTTTTGGTACAGTGACTCTGTATATTCCTTCCATCTTCTCTTGATGCTTTCTGCATCATTCAATAATTTGCCCAGAGAATCTTTCAATAACGAAAGTTGAGGCTTGAATTTTTTCTTCAGTTCCCCCAGCTTGAGAAGTGCTGAGCATGTTCTTCCTTTTTGGTTTTCTGACTCCATATCTTTGCACATTTTTTTGTAATATCTGGCTTTATCTTCTCGGGCTGACCTTTGAAATTTTGTGTTCAGCTCTTGTACCTCCTCATTTCTTCCATTTGTTTTAGCATCTCTATGCTGGAGAACAAGTTTCAGTGTCTCTTCTGACATCCATTTTGTCCCTTTCCATCTTTCTTGTCTTCTTAATGACTTTTTGCTTTCTTCCTTTATGATGTTCTTGATGTCATCCCACAACTCTTCTGCTCTTATGTCTTTAGTGTTTAATATGTCAAATATGTTCTTCAGATGATCTCCAAATTCAGGTGGGATATATTCATGGTCATATTTTGCCTCTCGTGGATTTGTTTTCATTTTCTTCAGCTTCAGTTTGAATTTTCATATGAGTAATTGATGGTCTGTTCCACAGCCTGCCCCTGGCCTTGTTTTGACTGATGATATAGAAACTCTGTATAAGGTTGCTATTAGTTGGAACTGACTTGATGGCTCACAACCACAACAACAAGAATTGTAGCATACATGTTGCCCATTGACTTAATTCCAATTACGGCAACCTCATCTGTTAGAGTAGAACTGCTCCATAATGTTTTCATGAATATGATCTTCACAGAGGTAGATTGCCAGGCCTTTTTTGTGTGGCCTTGCTGGGTGGATTCAAACCACAAGCATTTAGATTAATAGTCCAGTACAGACTGCACTACTCAGGGACCTAACTGTAGAGTATACTCTCAGAACTCTACCTGTATCCTTTCAGATCTCTTTAGCATTTTGCTGCATATCAGGTCCCAGTGAGCTTCTACTCAGAGCAATTGAAAGCTGTTTCTCCTCATTCAAGGATTGCCCTCATTGAAAGAGACTGTTTTGCCTGCTAACATGAATGTACCTGGGAATTTATGAGAGCAACTTTTAGCCAATGATTCATTACTTGTTGCTGTTGTTAAGTGCCATCCTGTTGGTTCCTACTCAAATTGCCCCTACATACAAGAGAACAAAACACTACCAGCTAAGTCCTTCACCACCCTCACAATTGCTGCTACACTCTTGCTGCCACTGTGCCAATTCATCTCATTAAGAGTCTCCCTCTTTTTCACTGTACCTCCACTTTACCAGGCATGATGCTATTCTACAGAGACTGGTCACTCCTGACAATATGTCTGAAGTATGAGAGGGGAAGTCTGGCCGTCTTGGCTTCTAAGGAACATTTTGGTTGTACTTCTTCCAACACAGATTTGTTTGTTCTTCTGGTAGTCCATGGTACCTTTAATATTCTTCTCCAACACCAATAACTCAAATATGCATCAATTCTTCTACAGTCTTCCTTATTCATTGCCCAACTTTCATATGCATATGAAACTACTGAAAGTATCATGGCTTGAGTTAGGTGCACCTTAATCTCAAACTGACATCTTTGCTATTGAACACTTTAAAGAGGTTTGTGCAGCATATTTGCCTAATGCAATACGTCATTTTGATTTCATGACTGCTGCTTCCATGAGTGTTGATGGTAAATCCAAGCAAAATGAAGTCTTTCACAACTTCAGTCTTTTCTCCATTTATCATGATACTATTTATCATGATAAATGAATAAATCCAGTGGTGAAGATTTTTGTTTTGTTTACCTTGAAGTGCAATCCATACTGTAGGATGTGGTCTTTGATCTTCATCAGTAAGTATTTTAAGTCCTCTTCACTTTCAGCAAGCAAGGTTGTATCATCTGCATATCAAAACTACCAGCTGTTCCATGGGAGAAAGATGAGGCTTTCTGCTCCCATAAAGCTTGACAGCCTCAGACACCATGTACAGGATCACTATGAGTCGGGACTGACTCCATGGTACACCACCACCACCTCTTTAAATGGTTAAACATTGACCATTTATTTTTGGTACTGTGACTCTTGTATTCCCTCCATTTTCTTTTAATGCTTTCTGCATCATTTAATATTTTTCCCAAAGAATTCTTTAGTATTGCAATTCGAGGTTTGACTTTTTTCCTCAGTTCTTTCAGCTTGAGAAATACTAAACATGTTCTTCCCTTTTGATTTTCTAACTCTAGATCATTGCACATTTCATTATAACTGTTGGCTTTGTCTTCTTGAGCTGACCTTTGAAATTTTCTTTTCAGCTTTCTTGTTGTTGGTGTGCTGTGGGGTCAGTTCTGACTTATAGCAACCCTGCATAAGGTTTCTGAGGCTGGAGTCCTGGTGTGGCACTGTGGGTTAATGCGCTGGACTGCAAAGTTGGTTTGAACTGCAAGG